GGTTGGTCGTAGGTGGGAGGTCGCTGCCCTCTCGCGGTGGACAGGTGTTATGCGGTGTCTGAAGCGGGTTGTGTTGGGGGCAATGTTCAACAACGTGCTGCCATCAACTCTATCAGCGCTGTCTTCCAACATGGGCATCACTGACGCGAAGCTGGAGAAAGAAAAGAATGACAGCATGGCCAGGATTGCCAGAGGCGAAGATGCGAACACCTTCACCCTCACCAACATGACCAGGGTTATGACAGTTTCCAAGTATTTCAGGGACGCAACGAGCAGATGGCAGATTGGCGCACTACTGATTGGATGCGCTCAGATCGAGAAGCTCCATTGGCAAGTGCTTGGCAGCACCGCAGAGAACAGGCGCAAGGCGAACCTGACCGACCTGGTCGACCCGCAGGTGAGCATCATCGGTCAGTCCCAAGCCCAGCTGCTACGATTGCTGCAAGAGTGGAACTTGTCAGACGCGAGTCCATGGCGGCTGCTCGCTTTCCTTGGTTTGCAGGATCTTCGTGCCGCAGATGTCCAAGCTTACTCGAGGAGCCTGGTGCTATCGGTCAGTTGCAGTCTGTTCCAGCGTCTAGAGGCCCTCGTGGGAGCGACCACCGCGTTGACGCCGAATGCCTGGTTGTTGCCGCTCTGGCGAAGGACTGGTTCGTGAGCTCACCTGGCGCGGCCGCGCCAGGTGGGCCAACGAACCAGTCGCGCGCCACCGCTGCAACGGCCGCGCATGCGGCGTCGGCGCCTGGCGCACCCCGCCCAGGTTCGGCATGCTACCTGGCCCTACAAGCTGCAGTGGCTCATATCTCCGAACGTTTCTGATGGAGACAGGGCGGGCGCTATCCAGGAGTTCCTCGATGCGAATGACTGCTGCATCGGGCCTTTTGGGCGCACGTTCAGGCGTCGCTTCCCCTCGCGCAGCGCGCTGCTCAGCCGCGAGGCTGCGGCGGCGATATTGTTCTGGCAGAGGGAGCTGTTGTTCACGACGGCCCCCGCCGAGTGCGAGCACAAGGCGATGAAGGGGGAGATGGCGACCAGCACCACGGGGTTGGCGCATAGCCCAGTTGTTTGGCGGGCAGTGTGTCGGCACTTGGGGAAGGCCCACGAGATCAGGGGCGGGTCGTCGTGCTCGTTGCCGCTCCGACGCTCTGTTCCAGAGGCGCAGGCCGTGCTCGGCCAAGAGAGGGGCATGCCCATCTGCGACTGCGCGGGTCCGCGCGCCGATCCCCTTCAGCTGGATGGCCGCCCTGCAGATGCGGCGGGGGACGGCGATTCGGCCGACGACGGCGACCAGCGCGACGGCGTCGACTTGGAGGAGCTAGTCAAGGGCGGCAACCCGAAGATGGCCTACTCGAACCGCCAAGTCCGCTTGAGGAGGGAGTTCTTCAATCGACCAATGACGAGAGACGAGGTCACGGCTGAGCATTTAAGAAACGGCAAGGAGTACGACGATGACCCGTCCATAGGTGCGCGGTGGACTGCGCTCTTCGCCGCGCGGCAGCGGCAACGCAAGCGACTGTCCCAGGCGCCATCGGGGCTCCCATCATCGGCGACGCCAGAGGAGATGCCCAGGCAGCCAGTGTGGCCAGAAAGCTTACATGATGGCGACGCCGTCGAGGACGCCCCTATCGCCTCCACAGTGCTCGCGAATTACCATAGCTCACTCAGCGTGGATGGCATCGAGAAGCTAGCAACCGACGCGAAGCCGTTCACTGTGCAGGAGGATGGCTTACAAGAGCACGTCGCATCACAGGAGACGCTGTGGGGCTGCGGCGGCGAGTGGCGCAACGTTTGCACCAAGCTGCTGGCGCAGCGCCGCTTGTTGCGCAAGTTCGACGTCGCCAAGGCTTCTGTAGAAGCGCTGGTCGATTCCATAGACAAGAGTACCATCAAAACCAAGGATTGCTTGTTCCACTTCTCCTCGAAGCGGGTGGTCGGCGACGGCAGGATTCTGCACGCGTGGGCCATCATCAAATGTCCGATGTACAGCCCGAAGGTTCAGTGCTTCGTCAGGTGCCGCCCAGTTTCGGCGGTTGGTGCTGATGCCGTGGAGGGTGGATTTGCGACTCGGGCCCCTGCAGCGTACCCGTACAAGCTGAAGATCCTGCAGTCCAAGAGCCGCCTCTGTTCGCAGTCGGTGGTGAACCCCTCCGTCGTCGTGGACAAGGAGACGTCAGATGAATTCGTGAGGAGGCTGCTCTGTCGGACGTCGCGGCGAGTTGCGCGAGTAAACTACGACGAGGCAGTGGACGACGACCTGCTGCACGTCGTGGTCACGGGCCAGGGGGCAGCGACCGACCTGGCCCCGAAAGAGGGCAAGCGCGTCGCGTCGGCAGACGCGGCCGTGGACCTCAAGCTTGCCCCGACTGGCTCGGCGATTCTGAGCGGCATCATGTCCGCGGAAGGAGCAGGGGCGGGCGCAGCGGCGGCAGCCAGCCCGCCTGCCATCCTCGATGGAGGGGGGCACGCTGACGGCGGCTTGGGAGACGGTCTCGACCAGCTGATGGCCGACTACCTGGATGAGCATTTGCACGGGGATGTCGCGGGGGCCATGGAGTTTATCGATGATAACCTTGCTGGTGATATCGCCGAAGCGGAGGCCGACGCCGACGACGCCGACGATTTCGGCATGGGCGAACCCGAACCCGAGGGCGAGGGGGAGGGCCTCCATCATCACGGCGAGGGCGGCCCTGGCCCAGACCCAGAATGCCCAGGGCGCCGCGACGCATTGGTCGTCGCAGCCGCCGACGCTGCTGCTGCACTCGGGGGCGCGCCCTTGCCTGTGGCGCCGCTGGCCGCCGAGCCAGGTGGCGCGGGCGCTGCGCCTTACCACGTGGACGTGCTGGGGGTGGTGACGGGGTTGGCGCCGCCTCACAGTGGAGTCCCAACTTGTGGCTTCGCCGGTTACAGAGGCGACCGCACCAACATCTTTGCTAACTGCCACTTGCACCCGAAGTGCAGCGTCAGCGCTGGCATCATGAGGCACCACGTGCCGATGAAGTACATGGCGGAGTGGCTGATGCTCGGCGAGGTGGTGGACAGGGATCTCCCCATGGAGGAGCGGATGGCCGCGGGCGCCCGCCACCGAGCACTTTGGGTCAGGCCGTACTGAATTCAGCACCAGTTGTAATTAATACACCCGTTGGAAAAAATGAACATCAACTGGTCCGCCGACATCCGCCGACCCCCAGCACTGTGTACAACCTTTACTTTCTCCGTCACCCTCCATCTCCTCAAATATACTTCACCTCCTCTCGCCCACCCAACTCTAACCCAGGCGGGGGGGAGGGCCGTGGGTGAGGGTTCCCTGCTCCTGCCAGGCCAGGGCCCTGACGCCTACACCCCCCCGTCGCACGGGGGCAACATAACAAGGCCGATGGGCAGCGTTCCAGTCTGGGAGGCAATGGGGACTGGGGTGGACGGCAGTTAGGCAAAGGGGAGGGCTCGCGCTGGGATGTGCCAGGAGGGAGTTTCCCCCTCCAGCACTGGTGAATCCAATTCACCACGCGAGCCCTCCCCCGCGCCCGCCTTCGCCAGACCCTGCTCGAGGCCCCCAGGTCCCTGGCCAATCCCACTGAAGTTCTAAACTGCCCAAGCTGTACGGACCATATAGGTGCGCAGGGGAACGCCAGTTTCAGGGTCTCTTTCAAGGTGCAATGCTTGACCGCCCGCCGATGGCGCGCGGCACCGCTGCAGCGTGCTGCGTATAATAGGTGCGATCCGCGAAACACTCCTCGAGACACACGCCCCGCGAAGCGCTGCCCAAGACGGCCTCGAGAGGCCTCCCAGACACACCCAAAGAGCCACAAGAGGGCCCCAATACCCCCAAACGAGCCCCAAGAGGGCCCCAAGAGGACACCAAGAGAGCCCCAAGATGGTCTCAAGAGACATCCGAGAACCTCTCACAACAACACCTCAACTTTTTCCAGCGGCATGGGGGCAGCAGTAGTTTCACATCGTGTGAATGTACTGGTGGACGCTGCCACGAGTGGGAGGGGCACGACCGCACCTCCCGAACCTCCGAAGGTGTCGGGCGGCACCGCCGCCTCCCTCGAGAGAAGTATACATGTCTTGCTCGCCGCTGCAGCGCCTCCGACTGGATTGCTGCCCTGGGTTCGTAGGTTGTTTTGTTCGTGGTGTGTGTTTTGTTTTCGCGTTGGCATTTCGCGTTGTGTTTCGTGGTTGTGTTTCGTGGTGTATGTCGTTGGGTGTTTCGTGTGATGGTTTCGTGTTGTGGTTCGTTGTGTTTTTTTTTTTCCGTGGGGCGTGTCGTGGGGTGTTTTTGTTCGCGGGGTGTTTTTTTCGATGAGTGTTTCGTGTGATGCGTTGTTTTTTCATGCGGTGTTTCGTGGGATGGTTTGCATTTTGTGTTTCGCGGGGTGTTCCGTGGGGTGTTTCGTGGAGTGTTTTGGTGGTGTTTTCGTGCGGTGGTTTCTGTTGTGCGCGTTGTGTTCGTAAGGTGTTTTGTGCGGTGTGTCGTGGAAGGTTGTTCGGAAGGGTATTTCGCGCGGTGTTTCGTGGGGTGTTTTTTCGTGGTGTGTTTCGTGTTGTGTTTCGTGGTGCGCTCTTCGCGCGGTGGTTCGCGGGGCGTTTTTTGTTTCGCGGGGTTTGTCGCGGGGTGTTTCGCGGAGTGTTTTCGAGCGGTGTTTCGTCGGCTTTTCCCAGCCATCCTTTGGTGTTGAGTCCTCGTTTTGAAGAGACAGCGCCCCGCGTTCCCACCTCCCGCTGCCCTCCTCCCTCCTCGCATCATCGCCACCATGATCATCATCATGATCGTCATCATCAGCATGCTCACTGTCGTCGTCATCGCCAGCATCGCACCAGCATCGGGATCATCATCATAGTCGCCATCATCATCGTCACTTTCATCACCAGACGCCCCAAGAGAGCCCCCAAGAGATCCCCAGGAGGCCCCATGAGGCCCCCAAGAGAGCCCCCCCAAGAGGCCCCAGGAGGCCCCCAAGAGAGCCCCAGGAGGTCCCAGGAGGGCCCCAATAGGGTTCCAAGACGGGGCCCCAGACGCGGAACCCCAAAACATAAATGATGGCGTGGTATTTACCACGCTGAACAACAACACATAAACATGTGTTTTGGGAGTTGCCACTCGTGCGTTCCGTTGTGGGCTTCCCAAGAGGTCCCAGAAGGCACCCAAGATGGCCCCAGGAGGTCTCAGGGGGGCCCCGATAGGATTCCAAGAGGGCCCAAGAAGGGCACTGGAGGAGTCCCAGAGGGAACCTCAGACGCGGAACCCCAACATATAACATGTTGTTTTGGATGTGCCACGCGGAACCCCAAACAATAAAACATTTTGTTTTGGGACTTGGTTGGCTCTGTGGGGGCTCCAATTGGGGTGGCTCTGTGGGGGCGCGAATTGGGGCCGTCTTGGGGTTCTCTTGGGGCCCTCTTGGAGAGGTCTCGGGGCCATCTGGGGGCCCTTTGAAAGCCTTTGGAGGGGCCCAAGAGGGCACCAAGACGTCTCCAAGATGGCCACAAGAGGGTCCCAAGATTGCCTCATCCTTCTCCTCCTACTCTTCCTTCTCTTCCTCATCATCCTATGCATCATCCCTCTCCCCTCTCCCTCGTCCATCCAGCCTCCCTCTCCTCGGAGATCCCCTTCTTTGCCCCCGCACTCCCTGATCACCTCAACGCGCCTGGGCGTCGTTCGTGGATTGGCTGGCGGGGATACGCGAAGCGTCACTCAGTGTCTGCACCAGCACAGGCGTCACTTTGGCACACCTCTCACGCGTTTCGCTGACCCATAGGGAGCTCCACCGAAGGCGCCAGTGGCAGACCTCACATGCCGCCGCCAACCCACTTTGGCACGCGCCTCGCACTTTTCGTGCCCCCATATGGGAGCTCCACTGAAGGCACCAGTGGCAGATCTTGCATGCCGCCGCCACCTCATTTTGGCACACGCACACATACCTCACACGTTTCGTGGCCCCATAGGGAGCCCCACCGAATGCCTCAGTGGCAGACCTCGCATGCTGCCGCCAACCCACCTTGGTACACCCCTCACACGCTTCGTTGCCTCAGTGGCTGCGTCCGCATGCCCCCCCCGCGCTCATTTCGGCACACCCGTCACGCGCTTCGTGGCCCCATAGGGAGCTCCACCGAAGGCTCGCATGCGCCCCCCCCGCCACCACCGCCACGTTGGCAGACCCCTCACACAGTTCGTTGCCACACAGGGAGCTCAACCGAAGACGATACTCACAACTGCGGTACTCACAACTGCATATGGCTGGGTCCTTCGCCAGGCTAATTTTCAGCCATCCTGTGGTGTTGGGCCATCGTTTTGAAGAGACGGTGCCCCGCGTCTCCACCCTTCCGCTGCCCCCTCCCTCCCCCATATCCATAATCATCACCGCGATCATCACCATCGCCATCATCAACATCACCATCGCCCATTTCGACACACCTCATGCGGTTCGTGGCCTCATAGGGAACTCCGCCGAACGCCCGCCGTCCACGTGCGTCCCCCCGCCCAATTTGGCACACTCTCACACGTTTCGTGGCCCCATAGGGAGCTCCACCGAAGGCCCCAGTGCCGCCGTCCACACGCGTCTCCCCCGCCCAATTCGGCACACCCCTCACACGTTTCGTGGCACTATAGCGAACTCCGCCGATGGCATCATTGCCACCGTCCACATGCGTCCCCCCGCCCAATTCGGCACACCCCTCACACGGTTCGTTGCCCCATAGGGAGCTTCACCGAAGGCTCCAATGCACCGTCCACATGCGCCCCCCCCCCCCCCCCCCCCACCCGCCCCCCCCCCCCTCCCCCCCGCCCCCCCCCCCCCCCCCCCCCCCCCCCCCACACCCACCACCCCCCCACCACCCCCAAACCCCACCCCCACCCCCACCACACACACACACAATTCGGCATAACCCCTCACGGCGCCTCCACCCCAAGGGAGCTCCACCGATGGCCACAGTGCCACCGTCCACATGCGCACCCCCCCCCTCCCCGCCCACTTCGGCACACCCCTCACGCGCTTCGTGGCCCCATAGGACTCCACCGAATTCCCTAGTCCACCGTCCACGTGCGCCCCCCTTCACCACACCCCCCCACCCCCCCCCCCCCCTCCCGCCCACATGCGGCACACCCCTCAACGTTTTCGTGGCCCCTAGGGAGCTCCACGAATGCCCCATTGCCACCGCCCACATGCGTCCCCCACACCCCTTCGGGACACCCCTCACACGTTTCGTGGCCCCATACGGAGCTCCACCGAAGGCCCCAGCGCCACCGCCCACATGCGCCCCCCACACCCAATTCGGCACACTCCTCGCACGTTTCGTGGCCCCATAAGGGGGGCCCCACCGAAGGCCCCACGGCCACCGTCCACATGCACACACGCACTCGCACACACGCACACACGCACACACGCACACACGCACACACGCACACACGCACACACGCACACACGCACACACGCACACACGCACACACGCGCACACGCACACACGCACACACGCACACACGCACACACGCACACACGCACACAGCCACACAGCCACACAGCCACACACACACACATACACACACATCTCGGCGCACCCCTCGCACGTTTCGTGGCCCCATAGGGAGCTCCACCGAGTGCCCCAGTGCAACCGTCCACATGCGTCCCCCGCACCCACTTCGGGACACCCCTCACACGTTTCGTGGCCCCATAGGGAGCTCCACCGAATGCCCCAGTGCCACCGTCCACATGCGTCCCCCACACCCACTTCGGGACACCCCTCGCACGCTTCGTGGCTCCATAGGGAGCTCCACCGAAGGCCCCGCGGCCCCGTCCACACGCGTCCCCCCCCACCCCCACACCCCGCCCCACCCAAGTCGGCACGCCCCTCGCGCGTTTCGTGGCCCCATGGGGAGCTCCACCGAAGGCCGCAGGGCCACCGCCCACATGTGTCCCCCACTCTCAATTCGGCACACCCCTCACACGTTTCGTGGCCCCATAGGGAGCCCAACCGAAGGCACCAGTGTCACCGTCAACATGCGTCCCCCCCCCCACCCAATTCGGCACGCCCCTCACAGGCTTCGTGGCCCCATAGGGAGTTACACCGAAGGCCCAACTGCCACCGTCCACATGCGCCCCCCCACCCCCCCTC